GGAAAGGAAAGGAAAGGAAAGGAAAGGAAAGGAAAGGAAAGGAAAGGAAAGGAAAGGAAAGGAAAGGAAAGGAAAGGAAAGGAAAGGAAAGGAAAAAAGGCTTTATAATTTTGATCTAGGGCAACTTTACTTACACATTGACTAGACATGGGCTTATGCTTGAAGAATCAGGCACAGGTTCGTTGACAGAGAAAAGAAATTGTAACTCAAAAGCTGCAAACAGCTAAGTTATAACAATACAATKTTGGGCAGCATATAAAATAGTTTTTCTGGACATTCACAGGGTAGAGCTTTTTTAAATCAGAGAGCAAGAAAGTACCAGATTTCCCTACTCAGTTCTGTAGCAGGTCCAATAGCCGTTGGAGAGATGCATGCTCCTCCGTTCCTAACCATTACAAAGATACTTCATATATACAATGATGGATATTGTTTGGTTGTGTAGGCATTCTGGATGGGACTGGGAGATAACTCYGCTAGCACTGAGACCCAATACCCCAGTTTATGGAAATAATAGATATATTTCACACAATCACAAGTAGATTATATGATTTTTGTCATATTTCTGGCAGTTGTTTCTGCATGGTTATACTCTGAGCACTACAGCTCAGTCTTTACTACCATTTCCTTGCTTTGCAATACTCTCATCTGCTCAGTGAAAGTAAAATAGATGTGAATAAAAGCTAAACAAAAGCAAGAGAGAGAGAAGGCTGATTCATGCCATTGGACTTTGTTTTCTTTACCTGGAATCTCAGACTGGAAAGGCCCTTAAGAACTCAGAAATTTTGTCTTGAATTAGATGAATGGGTAAAATCAGCTGCTCAGTGGCCCTGATATTCATTGGAAGTATAGATAGCAAAGAATTTCTTGTTACCTAATTAAATAACAAACTAGTTTTAGTTAAACTTCTCAGAAAGAGCAGGGGAATCAGAATTTTTGAGTAGTAGGTGGAGAATTGGTTTGTACAACTAAATTCAAACTATTCCAGTTTATTGTTCAAGTATTAGGTGTTGTTGTCTGAAGTTTCAAAAACTGATATTGTGAAAGTTGCCAGAATTTGTTAGGAGCCTGAATTTCTGGGTTTTTTTGTGTGTGTTTGCCACGAAATAATATGTAATAAAAAGAAAACAATTTCCCATAGCTTTCTTTTCTCTCAATTTTCCTCCTTCAATAATGGATTTTTTCATAGATGATAATTATCCTGTTTTGTTTCAATCATACAAGAAATAAACATTTCCTGGATTACTTGAGGAAAGGTGAGAAYTGAGAAATTTTCATTGCCTGTGAAGAATGAGAATTACAGGTTTCTTCTCTGAACAAAAGATACAAGTTTAATTTGGACTGCAATTTGGAAATGAATTACTTCTAAACTTAGTTAACCTTGATGCTTTTTCTCTCCCTCTATTCTCTGTAGGTATGAACAACCCAAGTGTGATAACAGTGCCAGAGCTCACCCAACCAAGACAAAGGATTTGTATAAAGGACGGCAACTTCAAGGTGAGTGAAATAGATAAATTTACTTTAATGCATTTCAGTGTTTAGTTTATGATGTTAAGCAACAGCTCGGAAAGCAATTTCCTATCCTGTATCAAAACAGTATGTCTTTTAGATATTGACACATTAATTTGACACTAACAGAAGTCTTTCAGTTTGGGACAGTGTATGTAAATGTGAGTCAGTAGTTTAAGTCAGTAGTTTAACGGTAATCCTCATTATTTGCTGCAGTTATTTATTGCTGTTGTCATTCCAGAGAAGTCAGCAAGTATGTCAAGAATAACTTGGACCATACTTCATAATCCTTCTTCTAGCAAAAATCWTGGAAAATTGGTCTCTGTGTTCCGATAAGAGTAAAAAAACCCTTTTTTTTCCTTTTTTTTTTTTCTTAACTTCAGAATAATATTGTTTTATTATTCATGTTTTAGGACCAAATCCTGCYCTTTTGTAAGATTTTGATGCATTCTTTTGGACTTTAGAGATGTTATATCTGGGGAGCTGAGCTGAACAGAAGTCAGTGGACTTACTTCACTTTTGAATCAAGTTCTAAATCTGTAGGCATAACTTGATTCTCAGTATGTTTTAGTGATAGTCCCCAAATCAGGAGGAAAACTMAAATAAAAAACATCCCCCCAACTCATTCGTTGATTACTGCTTCTTTAGAAAAACTGATAKTGGCTCATGTTTTATATCTTGTGAAATATTTCAGTTTAATGACCCAGATAAATGTCTAGACAATATTTCTGAACTAAACATGCTCGTCACTGTTGAAATTGATCTTGAAGGAAGCATACATTAATATTGACTGTAATGAAGCAAATTTAAGGTATAATTGGAAAAGATATAACATGAACAATGTGTAAGTATGTAACATACAATTATGTATTGTCAGTACTTGGTCACTGAACTTATTTAGCGCTTTTGAAACTTCAGGGATGTTAGAAAATATATGAAGGCTAATTTGGGACATACTATACCATTCTTACTCCGGTGGAAAGTTGGTCACTAGTTTCTGTGGAGATAGTATTAGACGCATGCTTTCCATATATTCTAGATATCTCTGTCAATTTATGTCAGAGCAATACTTGAATCGTTACTAATTTGTATAGTTACTTGATTTTGGAAGTACTCTAATGAACTAATGTATTCTTCRGTACAGAGTCTTGAATGCTTTAAGACTGTTCTGGATAACTTTTATGTAAAATAAGCTGGTCAAGAGCTTTTAATGTGGTGTATGATGAAGATTAGYTGGGATTACACCTGGATTTTTATGAAGTATGCCTGCATTTTTTCACAAAAAAGCATTAGTAGGAAATGTGATTTTGCTAGGATAATATTCTTAGTTAGAAACACCATAATGTTATTCTGAAGAAAAAAAGAAAAACTCACTAAAAGACACGATAGATTGAGAGACATCCAGCAAGCCACAATGTCACACTGGATTTTCAGACTTAACTCTGTTGCTTTTGTGGCTTTTGGTCAGACCATTAATGTTGTTTACATTTTGTTTTAGTTTGTTTAASTTTCCCTTTTTCTATAGTACACTATGCTTTTAAAGTTTCTCTAGTCATGATATTTCCTGTCATACAAAGGGGTAATTTGGGAGGGGAAACTGTACTTTGGAAATGACACTGCTTGATACATTCATTGTAACTGTAATACAATCTATTGACTTGGCTGAATGTTGAGATTCACCAAGTCCATATACTAAAACTTCTGAAAATCACCCTTCTTTATTTCCCCTTAATACTGAAATTCTTCACTACTAAATATTTCCTCATACTGAATTTCTGATCTCAGTTAAACTTATTTGAATTCAGTGGAACTCATTAATTACATTGAAATTACTGAAAATTTCTACTAGTAAATAAGATTAGCATTTCACTCTCGTTTTTTTGGTCATTCCTGGATTTCAGACTGGTCTCTGAAAAGCTTCAGATGCTTCTCATTAGAATTTTGGATCCTAGTGCACTTTACTAAAATTCGGCTTTTTTGATATATCTGAGTTAATAAGCACTTGAAATATTTCCATTGTTAATTCTTGGAGTTTATTTAGTGACGCAACAGGATCCAAATCAGCAAAACTGGCATCTTTGCTTAATCTTTTGGAATTCTCAGTATAAATCACTCCTTCTCCCTGCCCCTGTACTAAAAACTGTTATTCTCATACATTACTGTGCTGATACTGTGTGGGACTACATGGTAAACATCTTAAACTTTTTCATTGAAATATGTTTAAAAATGTCTTGATCCTTCTCTGTTGTATACTCAATCAACTTACTAAAACATAAGATTCCCTCTTAACACTTCCTTAAATATGTCTTTACTGAATTACAGGGTGAGCATTGTCTGATTTCATAGGCTAGTGATTCTGTTCTCAGCTACTGTGTTGTCCTAGTGACCTTGAACACTTAATCTGACTTTAGCATTCGAGCAGTTATTTACTCCTGAAAAATCATTCCTGAGAGCTGCTTAAGTCACGTTCTTTATTTCACAATTGCATGTTACTTAAGAGAAAGGTAATTTTTCTAACTATCTAATTTTCATGTCTTTATTTACTCTTGTTCTGATGTGATATTTCAGCACTGACCATGAATAGTTTGTATTTTCTGGAAAAGAATTCATCATTTAAGTTATGTAGGAATTCTGTGTGAATAAGTAMAGTTTCATTTTCGCTACTGGCAATGCATTTTCTTTTTCCAAAGTTAAAGAGAACTCATGGAAATGTCCATACTGAGGTAATGCAAGATCCACATCCAAATAGCCATCGTGTAAAGTGTCTTATTACTTCAAAGGCATCTTTAAAAAAAAAAGTGATTCTGGGTTAAGTTCCATTGTATGTTATAATTGCTCCTTTTTTGAAAATGAACACGAAAGATTTCATAAGGTACCTTACTATTTCTAGGCCAAAATGCTAAGGTACTATCATTAGTCTACCTAAGCTTGATTATTTAGGTGATTATTTAGAAAATAATCTTATCTTAGTACACATTCTTAAGTTTCTGAATAATTAAAACTTTGCCTATTTTTAAAAATATCAATTAAATAATTGAATATTTCTAATCATAATACAGATTATATACATTTTTCCTGTGAGCTTCAAAATGTTAGCTCAATTTCCACATAACATTCTCCAATGAGCTGTGATTTGAAATAATCTTATTTTTTGTGATATAAACAACCTTTTGGCTGGATGAGCTAATATTTAAAATATCCCCTTGTCGTATCTTAAACCTCCAAGCTGTCTATCCTGTAGACCATGATTAAAACAATCRTTTGAAGTTGGTTGGTGTTTTAACTGCACCTGTAACTATCTTTTTGAGTCCTATATTGCTTCATCTACCAAGAGATATTTGGCAAGATGGATATATATTACAGCAGACCTGCCTAGTTAAGTGTTGGACTTCTACCAGGAAATACTGATGCAAAGCCAGGAATGAAGGCAGAATTGCATTGTACTGTTGTGAGAATGATGGACAGAATCTGCCTGGAGCCAGGCTACACATGCAGTGAGGACAGATGTGAGAAGCTGAGGTACATGGAGGTGCTGGAAGAGCAGGCTTGTTCTTTCTGCTGTCCCTATAGTGATGGAGGAGTAGGGATAATGGCTACCTTCCTGAGCAGTAGCTATTTCCTCTGAGATATGAGGCTACAAGAGGTACATGGTATTCTAGCCTTCTGCTGACCTACACAGCTGGATACATTCCAATGCCTTCGGGAAGATCAAGGTTAGTGACAGCTCTGTSAAGGGCCCTTTCCATATATTAAAGGGCATTACTATTGTCTTGCACTGGAAGCCTGAGACAGTGGCTATAGAGAAGTCTAAGGTGAAAGATGAGATTGGTGTGTAAAGTAAAGAAGAAATCAGAGGGTCCTCAGTGTTATATCAATGCTAAACTARTGCACTTGGTGCATGGAAAGAAAGCAATGCACACAGATGGGTATYGCAAGCACTGGCTCAGTAACAGTGCATGCACTAGGACACAAAGGGTTATTTTAGTAATGAATAGTGGTGGTCTGGGGAGGATGTTGGGCTGAGGCACCAAGACTTATGACTACRTAGGTCTATCAGTCAAGCCTCTTTATAAAAGGGGAGGTCCACAGCAGTCAGACCTATATTTTATGAGGCCACAGGAGTAATTTCAGAGAAGCTGAAACTCAGAAGAGGGTTCTGTCCTTTTAACCTACAATAATTTACTTATTTGCTTGGGCTTTTGGGTATGTTGACTCTAGCATTATAACTGCATTGTCTGACTGCATCATTATGATATATATTATAGTCTCGCAATGGGAAGCTTTGTTCCGGAGAAAAGAAGGCTTGTATATTATTTTTCAAGGCTCTGTAGATCTCATTTAATATCCTGATGTTCTACATACTATCTCCTGTTTGTCTCTCCATTCTTACTTTAATCAGAAGAGATCTAATCACAGCCTTTTATGCTGTTTTACTTTTTACTCAAGCTGGAACAGCAATATTAACATCTGCACCATAAATTCTGCATCCCCTAACTTAAAGATCTTCCAGTTATGTGAGAATTCACCTCATCTCTCTCCCCACCCACCCCCAAAAACTACAGTGAAAGCATTTGAGCAAGCAGTGAAGTATCAGTGAAAGACACAGCTGTGTCACAGCTAGCAGAAGAGAAAAGCTGGCTAATTGAAGGTGATGATACTGGCTCAGCAACAGCATTTCATTCATTGCTCTATTTAATATTAACCTATAATTTTATGTTTATTTTAAAAGGAATATGTYAGGACTAATAAACACTGACTTCATTTGCTTCTCAGCATTAAAAGAAAGCTATGCTGAAGAATATAATCTCTGCTTCTTGCCTCACTTGCTGCCATCCTCCCTTTTCAGCCAAATCCCTTGTTAAGTATAGCAGTCTTTCCTGTTGTGCTGCTCAGTGCCAGCAGACTCTACTCTCAGTGAGAGCTGAGTCCTGGACTGCTCCAGTGGACGCATGCTCAGAGAGYGAGGGCATTCTCACGTGTTTCCTATG